TAGGTAATGCATGCGGTTCACAGACTAAACGACGAAATCTCGACGGCTCTTCTCTTTTTTTGTCCGAATAAGACTCGATTTTCATGCACCACCTTCACACAGCGTGAGGCCTCCTCCTACCACCAGCAGGTTCAGTTTTTGACCAGTTTCGATGGGAACAAAATGCTCAAATGGCCCGAGCATGTCGCAAGGAGTTCCACGAAAACAATCATTCCGTGTACAGTCAGCCGGAGCACAATAAAGAGTATAGGTTACCGAAATCCTCGATAATAAAAAATAATATCTTAAACTTCTAAAAACCATAATTTATAAACAACAGTAAAATTTGATTTGAAAAAACCATTTGACACTTTTATTTTATTTTTGCTTTTATCGGAAAAAAAACGAACCCTCATATTATATAACAGGGAAAACACATAGAAAGCGTACCTCTGCAGTTAGTACTTTATATATATATATATATATATATATATATATACATAACCTTTTACGCTAAAATAACGAAATAATATTACATTGACGACGTATCAGTATTTTCAATCAAAAAACATAACAACTTAAAAAAGTTTCGAATGTATATATATATAGGTATATTACACAATACGTAAGTTTTTTTCTGTTGGTTAACAAACATTCCCTTACATGAATTTTATATATAAATATATATTTTAGATTCAAAAATTTCATTATACAGAATAAATGATGTCGGTACATGTTACATACATATATATGTAAGCCGCCATTCGATAAGAATTTGATTGAAACGTTATGTATTCATATAAACAATATTTTCGCTAAATTGTTGTTTACGCACGTCATATTATAGAGAACAAGAATGATTTTTTTGTACTTTTATTATGATAGAATCGAAAAATAAGAGAAAAAATACTATATTTATAACCGACGAAAAGCATTAATAGTAGTTATGAGTATGAGCGAGCTTTGAAATTTTACTTTGCAGATGCCACTTTAACCGCACATACTATGGAAGTTCAAAGTGTTTTACACCCTAAATATTATAAACAGTATGTATAGAAGGATACATTTGAAAAAAAAATTCGTACAACTTTCAATAAGTATAAACAACATAGTGCATTGGGTAAACGCTTTTCAGAAAACCCTCACATCACTTAGAGTATAAATGCATATCGCATGTGTGTGTGTTTATATGTATATATATATATATATTGAATTTATTTATGTGTCTGTCGTTTCGAAATTGTGACTTAAGCCGTGGAAATCACGTATAATATTTATTGACGTGTGTGTTACGACCGACGGTAACACGCATAATACTACCGCATAACCGATAATACACTACTACTAACACCGCAATGAGTCTGTATCTGTATCCGTCAATTGACTATCGGGTGGTACACGTACCAATAAAAGTGTTCCACAATCGAGGGTTTCCAAACTTTGGACACAGGAACGCGTATAAAAATGTATTCCCATTAGATGAAAAGTGTTCACTACCTGTGCGTCGTCTACTACGCGCGGAGGGGTTAACCTACGAGTGCAATAAGAGGGGAGGAAAAGGGACCCGAAGGCGATTTTTGCAGTCCCGAACCTTTGACAACGACCGCAATATCAGCACGCTAGCGCACTGCGTTAAGACAACCACCGACACAACAGCGACGACGACGTACATCGGAAGAGGGATGAAAAACGCATGCGATGAGTCATCGGTGCCACTATACTTCTGCCGATGGCACGTATACGCTCACACACACTCATATATACAAGCACACACGCATATACGACGCGGTCGACGCCATTACTATGGGGCCTCTGTAGTATCGATCCGATCACCGCCACCGCCACCTCTTCCAAGCTCGCACCCTCCGCTCATCCCCGACTCTGCCGCACCCAGTCGCGTCCAATGGCCAACGCGATATTTTTATTTTTATTTTTTTCCTCGCGCTCACTAGTTATTCGCCACCACTCTCCCCGCACTACCGCGTTCCCGACCCTTCGAAACTTTTACCAAACCACCGATGACTTCGTCGTCGCCGCTGCCGCCTCCGTTACCACGTATATAACAGCTAAACGACGAGACGGCGACGGTTACACACGCGGTAACATAATGTAGGTATACGTAATGAAACGTGTGCAAACGCGTTTTTACGTGTGCTCTGTATAATATTTTAGCTTGTGCGTGCATTAATGCACTCGCCGCGCGCGGTTTTTTTTTTTTTTAATTAAAATTGAATAATAAATGTGCCGTTGAATAATGTGTCGAGTTAGGTACGAAAAATAAATATACTTTACAGAAATAAGTATATACTCGTATATTGGTGTTTATAGGAGCCCTTACAAGCACGTTTACGGTCCTTCAGTGTGAGCTTGTGGTGTTATACCGTATCATCGCAGCTCTGCATGTGTTTACGTTCAACCTACGGTTAGGTCCGTTCCTGGGTCAAAATTATGAATGTTATGTTAGATAAGAAGGCAATAAAAAAATACACGTTGAATATCCATAATCAAAAATATTAGGGTCGAAAATCAATAAACGTCAACAAATATCTAAACAGTTTGAACGGCTGAACTTGTCAGTGAAAATGCGTTCTATCGATGTCTGCATTTACAACTGTAGTTTGGCAGTGAGTAAAAAGCGCGGGAAAATGCAATATAAAAGGCGTCAAATCGAGGAAATTGGCACAGTTAAAACAAAAATAGGCATCCGTGTAAGAATTTTTAGGCCGTTTTAACTTTTATAGAATGAAGACTAGGTATATTCTTAAGAAAAATGTATGTAAAAAGATTCTAGTAGGTTCTAGGGTTAGAACCCCCCCGTCCCATTGCGCACGAGCCAGCTTTCTATACAGAGAACATCACACCTTGAGCTACATGAACGTCTGTAAAACTACGTGAATGCAATCACGAACATTTGCGTAATATTAACAGATTCGTAAACGAACGGCTACAATGAAAGACAAAACGAAAATATTTCAGTACTTTCGATCGTATATTATATTGTATAACACAATTGTAACTCTATTTGGCTTAGCATTATTCAAAAAAAATATTTTACATTACAATATCATATCTTTCACGAAATACGAATTATACATTATTCGTTTATTCATTTGGTATAATACAACGGTTTGCGTTATAAAGTCAGTAACGATAAGCATCCGGAAGTTAATTAATGTTTATATGTGGTTTTATAATTGTTGATACGTTTTGTTTTTCGAACCGTATTAAGTATGCTAATTTGCATGATATTATCTTACACCTTTCGGATACTAATACGATAATATTGTATATATAAAAAATAAATTAGTTTTGTTGTGAAATAAAATGATAAATAAATACATTTTAACCTAATGTTTAAATTATAATCACAGTTTGTTGATAATAAATAAAATACAATTAAAATATAAAATTGTTAAGTGCTTGTATAAGTAAAACTGAAAAAGTATTTTAACTGTGTATATAACCTGCCACTATTTTATTAAGCGTGTTCCATGGCTATTTATAAGGCATAAATACATATACATTTTAACAGTTTAAATTTCATAGGATTTCCGGGCACTAGTTATGACCCAAATCAACGGAGAAATTTAAATCGTTTATGATTTCACAAATAGTCTCTACAAGTACAAGTCTAGGGGACTTTTATTTTTTTTATACGCTTTGCGTCCTATACGTGTTTATTTCAATTTTTACACTCCTTCAATCACAAACTGATTTTTTTTAAAGCGTTTTTAAATCGTCTAGATCGATTCGCACAAACTATTTATATCGATGAGTTGATCATTGTATCTGGTAGTTATTATACCTATACACTATAGTTGAAATATATATATATGCAAATAATGTAAGACATGGGCAAAAAGAACGATTAAATATCGCCAAATATGGAAACATACACATTATATAGGCACTTCGAAACAAAATAAACATGTAGGTTGAAAACGGATAAAACCAACGTTTTTAAAATGACAGACGTTCAGTGTCTGCCTTTTGTCAACTGTTTCACATGAATATACCAACGCGCTCGGGTCTGCGCCCTTGAGAAAAAATAAAGAACGTAAACAGTGCAACTAAAAAAAAAAAAAAACCGGACAGCGTCTGTCCATCCGTTTGACCCAGTGCCCTTGCCGCGTACGTATATAATGGTCGTCATCGCCTGTATACGATCACACTAATCACCGTCCATTTGTCTTTGGACTTGGTCCGCGTGCGAACGGCGTATTCGTTTGTATACATTACACACACACATAAACACACAACATATCGCGGGGTGGCAGAGGTACAGGCGCGAAGGGTTACGCAGGTGCCGCCGCCGCCGCCGCCACCACCGTAATGTGTGTCAAGGGGAAGGTCCCGTTGACGAATCATCAAAACAACAACACAGAAACGCACACACGGCGGCGCTTGCTCACTCGTACGCGCGGTATACACATATATCTATAAACCGTCAAGCACGAAAGGGTTGTAACGTTTTAAACTTTCGTGACACACATTCCGTTATGTGAACACATTCGTGCACGGTAACCGACGGGGATGGGTATGTGAAATACATGAAATACAAAAACACGCGTTCACGTGTCATTCAGTTGGACGCAACGTACGCGCGCTGTTGCTACGTGCACGAATCGTTTCGACGAATACATAATACGTGTACTACACAAGTACGGCAGAACGTGCGAGGCGTGTTAGGTGGACTTATCGGCCGCGCGTACACTTATTGTGTGTAAAATAAACGAAAGAGATAAAAACAAATCCGATTTGAATAATTATCGTACCGTTCACACGATTGTCGCCTGCAGTTTCGAGTGCATTCTTACGCGGAAATTCGTACGACACACGTATGCGTATAAAATATATGTAACGGAGCGCGGGGGCTTATCGCCGTCGACGGTACACGGCAATTTTTTCTAAAAAAAAAAAAAGTACGCGCGCGCGTACGTGACACGCAGTTAATTAATTCGTCGGGTCGCGGTTCCCACGCCGGTCTCGCACCGGGTCCAACGCGCGCGCGCGCCTCTTACCTTTTTGTCGGTGAGCTTCTCGCACCTCCTCATCTTGCATATCTGATGGCTCTTGTCGTTCCTGCACGGCGCACAATCGCCGCAGTTGTCCTTCCGCTGACACCCTATGCACTCTCCGCACCGCTTCCGTTTCTTCTTCGTCTGCTTGTCCATGCCGTTGGCCCCGTTCTCGCAATGGTCCGAGTCCATCATCGACCCGCCGATGCTCACGTTGCTACCACCGCCGCCGGTCATGCCCACCACATTGTGTTGCACCAGCGGCGACTTGAACCCCGCGGTGCTGCTCACGGCGGCCACCTGGCCCGAGCTCTCCACGCTGGAGCTGCCCACGCCGTCGCTCTCCACCGAGCTGTCCATGCTGGACGCGCGCACTTTTCGCCGTTCTTTTTTCCGCGACTCTTGCAGCCCGCGTGGCGACAGCGTGTCCTCCATCTTGACCGAGTCGATGTACGTGCCGCCCGCGTTCTGGTACACGTGGCTGGGTATCTGCGCGGACACAATGGCCACCGGTTCGGTTTTCACAACCGTCAGCAGTGTGGCCTGGTTGGATTGGTGATGGGGCGCCCCCATGAAGTTGCCCTGGATGATGGTGCTCTGGTGTTGGTGGCTCTGAGGTGCGAACGCGTGTGGCGGTGGCGGCGGCGGCGGTGGGTATTGCGGGCTCTGGAACAAATGTATGGTGCCGGCCCGGTCGTCCAGGAACTGTTGCTGGATTCCCGGGACCAGGGTGGGATAGCCGCGGGGCGCAGTGGCAGCGGCCACGTTCACCGTCGACAGCGTGTGGAAGCTGGGCAAGCCGGGTGACTGGGTGGGCGATACGGCGGCCGGCGTCAGCGTGGTCAGCGAAACCGTTTCCGATTGCTGTTGGTCGTTTTGGAAGTTGAACTGCGACTGGAACGACGGCAACTTGCTGCCGGCCGGTGACGGTGGATAGTCGAACGACCCCTTGGACATCGAGTCCTGCGAGTTACTGCCGTCCAGCTTGCTCTCCCACGGCCGGTACGACTGGGGCTGCGGTATGATCATCGTGGTCGGGTACAGATCCGGCCGGTGCAGCCCGTCCGGGTTATAGTCCCAGTGCATGTCTAATATCCGACCGGTAGTTGGGTCGTAACCGTCGCTCGGGCCGAGCCGTGCGCCCAGACCCTCGGCAAGTTCCAATGCCGAGAACGAGCTGAACGGCGGTAGACCCGGCGCCGGGCCCGGTGTCTTCGACTCGGGTACGGTTGATGACGGGGTGGCAGGCTGTGGTGGCGGATAACCCGCCGTACCATATGAGGCCATGGCCTCCCCGCCACCCTCGCTCATACTAGCCGACGTTGCAGCCAGCGTCACGTTCCCATCGTCTCAATTCTAACGGTCACTATGGACAAAAAAAATCGAACATTATAACCACATTTTCATCGCAGCCGTATAATGGTATAATAATTGTAATAAAAAATATCGTAAAACAATGTTTTCAATTTGACACGCGAGTACATTATAATTTTACATACCGGTCGAAGTGATACGGTTTATTCATTAACCAAAGAGATCCACGGGTATACGTCGAGTATACATACGAATATAACACATTATGTTGTGCATAATAGTAAAGGGGTCGATTTCTATTGCTATACGAGGTACCTGGTACAGTTATAATAATAATGGGACAGTGAGAGTGGGGGAAGAGAGAGAGAGAATTATCGTGTACATGTGAGTGTGTGTGTGTGTGTGTGTGCGCGAACGATAATGAAGCCGGTATCCGCGAAAACCCAAACTCGCGCGGTTTAGAAGTTGATTGAGTTACAGAAATTATGAATCGATGAGAATCCGAAACGATTGTTGCTTTATTTGATGTCTAAGTCAATGGAAAAACTTTTTTAAATATAAAAACCCCGCGACCTATACCACGAGGTGTTCTAATCGATGGTTGTCGTGGAAAATTATATATCATGGAAACATATATATATATATATATATATATATATATTTATCCCACACAAATGTTTACCCCACGCAGTTTCTCTCGTTTTCACGGTTGTATGGAATATTTTCCGCTCAAGCACGTTCGCTGCGTACATATATTGAATTAGTAAAACGATCATCGGAGAAGTCCGTACCGAAAACGGTTCTATGGAATGTCTGAAGGGGTCGGCAAGACTGCTGTGAATGATTTAATACCAATCGCATAACGGTCTTAAAACCAAATACTAGTCGTTCCAGGGCCATACATACGAGTATATTCCAATATAAACGTCATACACGTCTAGGGTGTTCTAATAATCAATAGAAAGATTTTATCTCTTTCCGATGTTTAAAAATGTTTTCCGTTCGAAATCCGCGTTGTATGAAATTCGAATCGACGAAACGCGTTAAAAATACTCGCACAGTCCACATTATAATAAAATAATAATATTAATAATCTGCAACGATGGCCGTGCATGTTGGTTAATCAGGAAGGATGTTTTTATTGTTGAATAAAACACTTTATTTAATAAAACGACATACACATATTGGTGGATGTATGTATATATGGTACACACGTAGTAAATATAAAACGCTGTTTATCTAAACAGCTATTGCACACACATGCACATTACACGCGCGCGCTCACGGGCGCATATATGACAACAGCCAATTATAACGAAATAATTTATTTGCCAAGCCGACGGGCGAAAATTATCGAAACAAACGAATTCGGGGTCTCGTGAATCGAAAAAAACGAAAACAATCTCGTTGCGGTACGTAAGTACAACGGTAAATTCTGAATGCCGAGGAGCCAACGTGCGAGTAGCTGTAAGCGGATCGATCCAAATGGAGAAGAATTCACATGGAAAATTAACGAGAATAAAACAAAAGTCTCCTAACCTAACCCAGGCAAACGGATAAAATATCGTGCAAAGCTACCGATACTGCGCGCTTTCGTTTTCAGTAGTGCGTCATCGCGGGCGGGGAAGTGGTTGTTGTTTGGGTACGCAACGAAAGGGAAATTTTCGCGGGTAACGTTACCGCCGAAGCATTACGCATCCACCGTCCCGTACTCGCGCACATGTGCATTTTTACGCGATGATAATAATTAATGTACTGCTGTTGGACCGTACACGTATCCCGATTCGCCGACGGCGAGTTAAAAATATTCAGCGCTTTCGGACGGGCGTCCCTAGGGATCGGATATTAAAAAAAAAAATTGATCTCATCGGCTACGTGCGAGGAACACACGGTGACGACATGGAAATCGACACTAACCGTACACAGGCGTACGTGATGATACCGCATGAAATACGCAGGTGACGACGATCAGATGGTAGAAAAAAATTCAACGATCGTCGCGCCCGTAAAAAACCGCTGCCCGCGTAAACGGTGTGCGTTTCGACAACGTGTTACGGTGCGAACGCCTCGCGTACGGTACAGATATCTGATTGTTACTCACTTGGAAAAAAAAAAAAAAAAAAAAAAACGTACCCCCCCGGTGTGCGCGTACCGCGGTCGTGGGGGGATGGTCACGTCGGCGGGTGCGAGACGATCGGAATATTTATTCGGTACTATCGAAAATCACCACCGATATCGAAAACCGACGACGGTTCCGTTGTCGGACGCGATCGGAAAACCGTTGGCGGATCGCACATGCAGAACACGCGCGTACTGCGCAGGCTGAACGTAGAGATTCACGACGACGACGACGACAGACACACACCACTCTCGCGCGCGCCGCTCAATGGGCTCGCATACGCACACGCACCGCGACACGACTGTTGCCTGGGTGTAGACGACGGACGGACGGACACGGGCACTACGCGTACATCACGCACGACGCACATTGCACACAGGGTACACGTACGGCGCGCGCGCACACGCGCAGACGGCGCTCACGTAGCGGCGGCGGCGGCGGCGGCGGCGGCGGCGGCGGTAGGCATCGCGGCCGCTCAGTAGTTGGCGGCCGGTCCGCTAGAGGGGTAGG